AAAAAGTCACCATATTATGAGAAATTTAATTAAGCGCTGTATTCAGTGATCAGGTGGTTACGGACTACAACGCTGTTATTAATTATCACTGCCTGAGGGAATGCCAACATCCTTGATGGACGGATGGTAACCAATAAGGGTTTATACAAATTCAGTATGGGCGCTTATGGCTGGATTCTAAATGTTGCATTTCAAGGAAAAACTTATTCAAACTGCATTTAATGACAATAAAATTAAACGGCTTTTCAAGCACATAAGGTCTTGTGGAATAGAGAGGGGGAGGGGGCTCTGGGCTGAACCTTAACTCAGGGTCATTTTAAAAATAACTGAGGAAGAAGGTGCTGCTTTTGTCGACAGACCTTAGAATGGTGGTCCGTGAAGGAATCGAAAAGTTACAAACCGCTTACAAACTAAATAACTACTTAGTGGAAAGTATAAACATTCAGGTACTCACTAATTAAGTAGTAGTTTTGGAAAAGGGAAGAAAACTGTGGATTCTAGGTTGCGATTACCTTTCAAGGAGCTTGATTTCTTCTTATAAAAAGCCTTGCAATGGAGTTTCCTCAGTGCTACTTTCTTCTTGAGCAACTTCCACAGTAGAGGTGACTGAACAAAAACACTATGGGCCTGATGAAAACTGAGAAGCTCGGATTAACGGAAGTCCGTAAAAAGCAAGAGGATAAACCTTAATAATTAGAAACATCCACTTTTGCTGAAACGTGTTCATCCTTTGTTACCCTTGTTCCAAAGGTCTGTTCTCAAAATATCTAGGATATAATAAACCGCTTTAAAAAGAACCAAAATTAGCTCTCGAGAGAGCTTTGCGCATCGCATTGCGCCTCGTTGTCGCCGTTTCACAGCGCCTGGTTCAACACAAGCTTTTTGCCGAAATCTGGTACCCAAGATAATCGCGTGTAGGAAATAATTAATTATTAGCGAAACGTGCTATAAAAATGATAGAGAAATTTTAAACGCAAAAGTATTTTCGTCATTATTTGTCAAAATATCAAAACAAAAACATAACGCATGTACAGCTGTACTGGTAAAAACTTCCTTAAAATTTCTTAGACCCTTTCTCTCGTAAACAAATCAGTTATGACAAAATAGTTTGCTCTCCTAAGTTTTAAATCTTTAAATCTGGGCCAAGTCCCATGGTGTTACCGTGCATTCCACTGGAAACGCTTTGGCAGAGCCTTTGCATAATGTCAGCAATACCTTTTATTACGAGCTTTTTTATTTGGGAGTCGCCCAAATAGAGTAATCGAGTTCGCTTGTTTTGATTTAAAGTTGCAATAGGCACGCAATACGTGCGAACGTAAACACGCCAAACGACGCGAATGTCTGCCGCGCCCTGCGTCACAACACAGCATTTATCTTCGTTACATATGACCCTAAGATAACGCACGGCAAACAAATCGGCAATAGAAAACAAACTTATTGGAAAAACGAGGTACATTGAGTGAAACAAACTATTAAATAATTTAAATTTTCCCTTTGAAAAATAATCATCCTCGCAGCACACGGTGAGAATGGCCTGGCAGTATTGTCAAGTGTTTGACAATATTTGTTGTCGCGCAAAATTCCATGATCTCGTGCAATGCATGAGATAATTTAGGGTAACATTGAATGATGCATAATTTCATTGCAAATTTTCGGAAAGGAGGTGATTACTTAAAATCTTATTGAGCAAAATGACCTCGTAAACAAAATGCATTCTTTCACGGTCGAACCGTAAAAGGGGAAGTCCTAGATCCTCACGTACAAACCGCGTCCTATTTTTAAAACCCTTGGGTTAATTATTTTAAGTCGTATTCTCTCATACACGAAACACAAAAGTGGCAAATTCCAAAGCTTTCATGTGCAAACTGGGTGACAATACAACTCACAGTAAGGGCCTGATCACATGAGCAGGGGAAGCAAAGCGCATGAACGCTGTGTTACCCGCGGTTCTATTTTTCGCTTTCATTCGCCCGGCAAGCGTGATTACTTGGAAATTACCACCCGGGATCCCGGCATCATAATACTCGGATCCCAGCTAACAGGGCTGGCTCGGTTGTCATAAAATCGTCGAGTTGATTTTCGTTACGTTTAACCATGGCCAAGGTGCCGGTTTCTCTAAAGGCGAGCAAGCCCTGCTCATGTTATAAGACCCTTAGTTCTATCGCCAGATTTTACGCCCTTCCCTTGACCTCACCGATTTTGAAAGCCCCCGAGGACACACACAAAATTTCAGCCCCCCCCCCTCCCCTCTCCTCAACATCTTCATACCCGCTTCTCTATATTATATGAACTTTTAGCCTTAAAAATGGTATCAAAAATAAGCAAAAAGCAATCCGAAACAAAAAGCCTAACAAAGTTTAAAATAAGACTCAACGTACAAGTATGTTTTTGACTACTACTGATAAGACTTTTCACAACTACCACTTCATTTCAACACACCGTAACTACACTATCCCTTCATAACCAAATTGGCACTTCCACACCTATCTCACTGCAACACCTAAAATCACTTTTACCTCCCAAAATAACTATTTTTTGTTACTTCATGTTAAAATCCACGAGAAACAAATTTTACTGATTAACAAACTACAGCCATTATCTTACCAATTCACGTCCAATATAACTCGCCTTCCACTTCACGCATCTCAACCAACGCTACTGCACTACTCACACATCCTTAATGCACATAAAACAAATTTCACACACGCCTAGTACATCGACGCTTAAATATACGCTCAAACAGCGTCTTGTGTTACTAGCTTTGGAAAGATAAACAAAGATAATTGACAAATCAAACTTCGTAAACGACGTGAACTTATCTTAAGGGAGCTTAAGCAACAACGACGGCGACAGCTACGAAAACGTCACGTACAAAGTAAAGTCGCGCTGCTTCAAACTTCATCGCGCTTATTCCATGTCGTTCAATTCGTCAAATGCTGGCAATTTTTTCTGGAGTTAAGTTCTGAAAGAGGGTAGCGAGGTTCAGGAAAAGAAAAACAAAGTCGTTGTTTTGTGTTCACGTCCTCCACAATACGTCGTGCAGTGACGGCAAAGAAATGTACAAAAAAACGTGATGCACGTGCAGAGCTGTTATTTTGGTAATCTAAACCTATTCCTATTTTGGCGTTCTCGCTGACACACCCATCGTCGTTGCTTAAGCTCCAGCTTAAGGGAGCTTAAGAAAGAACGACGTTGACGGCTACGAAAACGTCACTTAAAAAAAGAATTCGCGCTGCCTCAAACCTTATCGTGCCTTTTCCAACTCGATCACTTCAAACATCAGCAAACTTTTCTGGAGTTGAATTCTAAAGAATGCATCGAAGTACAGGAAAGGAAAAGAAAGTCGTTGTCTTGTTTTACGTGCTCCACAAAACTTGAATTTAGACATTCTCACGTCGTAGTCGTGCAGTGACGGCAAAGAAATGTACACAAAAAGCGCGATGCACGTGCAAAGTTGTTACTAAACCTATTAAGGACTTTAAGATCCAACGACGCGGACAGCAACGAAAACGTCAAAAAACCAATTTGTTTAATAAGCAAAACAACTACTTCGCACGTGCATCACGCTTTTTTGTACCTTTCTTTCCTGTTTTTGCACGACTACGACGTGAAAATGCCTAATTTTGCGTTTTATGGAGGACGTGCGACGACGAAATTTTATTTCTCTTTCTGAGCTTGGATATCATTTGAAATTCAGCTTCAGGAAGGGTTTGCCTACATTTGACAAAGTAATTGGGTTGGAATAATCGCTATCGAGACTGAAGTAACGCAAATTCACTTTTTAAGCGACGTTCTCCTTGCCGTCGCGTCGTTGGATCTTAAAGTCCCTATTGCTTTCTTGAGGTCGCAGTGAGGGTTTCCAAGTATGGTACTTACAAAAAGGAATATTTACGAGCATTGAACGCGAGTTAAACTTTTTCTACCCCTTATGAGTTTCTGACTGATAGGCAAAACAACATGTGCGCGTGCATCACTCTTTCTTGTAAAATTTCTTTCTTGCCGTCACCGCACGACTACGACGTGAAAATGCCAAAACAAAAATAAGTTTTCGAAAGTCGAAAGACACTAATCCAGGCTTAATCCAACTGACATATAGTTTTAAACCGGGATTAAGGCTAATCGATCAGTTCGAATAACATGGCCCAGTTGTTTTCAAAGAATTTTGTTAACATTTGATGACGGTTCAGGGCAGAGAACAAAATTGGGACAATCGGATGGTACGGTTTACAAGTAAAATCGAGAAGAGAGAAGATTGGCGGCAGCGCCACACAGGCGTCTCCCTCCCCGATTTCGTTTGAGGGGAGGGGGCGGCTGAACACAGGCTATATGTTTGACGCAGAATAAACATGGCCACAGAAATTATAGCCGGAATAAAGAGTTAAAAATAAATAAATTTTATCACCTTAAACTGAAGAAATCGTATTGGTCTTCATTTAAAATATTCAAGACCACAGGACAGGCTTAAAGTCTTATATTGCATTGAAAAGGATAATTTATACAAAAGAACTTCTAATCTTGACTTCTCAAAGATCAACATGATATTCTCGGTGGATTAAGTAACAATCTGATCTACTCTTAAAAGAAATAAGGATTGTGGCTTTTTTCAGTTTGACAGTTTTGCGCAGAATCTTCTTTAACAGAGATTCCATTTCTTTTGATTATGAAAAATCAGGACAACACAAAACTTCTGACTTGGACCCGGTTTCCACGGGTCTGGACAAGTGTTTAAACGGACAAAAACTTGCACGGATCCGCCTTTCGTTTATGCGGGACCCGTGGAACCGTGCAAGTTCTTGAACGACAAACAATGTAACAGAATTTGCACGGTTCCGTGTAAGCGGATTGCAAAGATAAAAAATGCGTCCGCTCAAACTTTATCCCAACCCGTGTAAACGGTGTCTTAGCTCGTAAGAAACACTCGCAGTTTTGAGGGTTACAACGTTATTTAAAAGACTTCAATAAACCGGAAACCACAAGTAAAAAGGGGACTGTTCACAGGACGTTCACAGCCTCTCTATTCTTTTTAATGCAAAATAGAAGGAACAAAGGGATAGGGGTAAGGCGCGGGTGCGCAAGAAATTCGTGCACGGCTTTGACACTCGCCTGAGGTCGCGCGTTCACACTGATCGCTATGGACAGTCTACGTCATCTGGGATAGAATGTAAATAGTCTTCGATACTTCAAAAACGCACGTCTTCACACTCAAGGCCCCAGGGCATTTCCAAACCTCTCCTTCCTTGTCCCTTTATACAAACACTGGAGAATTGCAACTTCTTGTACCAAAAAACTGAACTGCGTGGATGCAAGGGAATGAGCTTCATTCCAGAAGTTCAGGTTGAATTCTTAACCTTTCAATCGTCTCTTCGGGTAGGCAGTAAACGGGATTAACTGGCTTAATTTCGGATGATCCTAGTAACGCTAAACCGGTCAGACCAAACAGCGTGTGAAATGGATCCACCTGTCAAAAACAGCGTCAAGTGTTATTAGATAAAAAGTAATATTTTCACGGTTAAGCTGATAATATGGTTAGTATTAGGATCATGAGCAACACTACTGTGATTAATACTGAAGTTTAATGCTTTATCCACTTTTGTCCTAAATCTTCATTATCTCAGTACCATACCCTCTTAAGGGTGAGTAAGGCCAGCTCTTTTTAGAAACTAATTAAGGCCTCGTCCACACGTATCCGAATACTTTTTGAGCAAAGGGCGAATTTTTTTACTCCGTCTTAGCCTTCCGTCTACATATAAACAGGCGTTTTCGGCACCAAAAACGTAGACTGAGGTTTTTCATGTTACGTTTATTTCAGAAAACGTCTAATCTTCACTCATACAATACACGATCGTCTACGTCTTGAAAGTTCTATGTTAAAAGTTGTAGACTAGAAACGCAAAACAATTCTTTCTCTCGACTCGGAGTAAAGCAGTGGAATAAGATACCACCCTATATAACGGCTCTTTCAAAGAAAGCTTACAAAAAAAGTTCTCCGCAAATCGCTACTTGATATCTTAGAACAGGAGGATGACTATATTCAAATCCCCATGATTATTAAAAAAGTGGGTACATAGATGCACTTGCGAAAGGCTTTAATGTCTGCTTTTCTTTTTCTGTGTTATCATTTAAGAGTCAGTGACTCCTTGTCTTAATGCATTGTACGTCAGTAAGCGCTGTGTTAATTAGATCACTTAACTTCTGTGTTTTATTTATTTTTAGTAGCAATCTGCAAGGCTTTCTAATAGTTTAACGTTTTTGTTTTTATTACGTAACTGTGTTATTCATGTGCTTGTCTTGCCCCGCCGCGACTAGCTTTCCAGCTATTTGCGGGGCAAACTATCCAACTTTTGTATTTTTGTACAAAGAATAAAGCTGTTACATCATACAGCGCATGCCTTGTAAGGGATGCTATCGTACTTCCAAATGTTGTCTTAGCGTTTTCGTGTGAACGGCGAAAACGATTAGAATAAGCCATGTGTGGACGCGTTTTTTCCAAAACGAATAAAAAAAATCTCCGTTTTCAAAAATATCCGGACACGTGTGGACGAGGCCTAAGAATCTTCAACCCGCGTGACTCTGTCTTACACAAATTCAACTACGGAGTAGTGAGCATTCGATTTCAGTTTCTAGGGGAAGAATCAAAGTGAAAATAGCTGGAGTCTATAAAGATCAGACAGCCTCTACATGCAGACTTCTAACCAGCCAATACTTGCAAAACTTTTACTTTTAGCTAGGGGCAAGTGCCAAACGTTATGCGCTAGCATGTGATCTCATCATATAGACCATATTCGATATATTAATATTTATACTTGGCTCCGAGCCCAGCTACACGAGGAACAAATCATCTATTAAAACTGAACTATCCTTTAGAGTATTAGGAACAGTATTACTTCCCGCGCCATTAAATTCTTAGCTTTTGTTTTTTCCTTTGAATGAGATGTCATTTTTCGGGTTTGGGCCTTGAATAGTATCGATTTTTGTGGGTCTCATCCTTTAATAGGGTCGGGGTTTAGGACCCAGGGCGGCACACACAAATCCAAAATTTATTGGAGTACCCCTCCCCCCTGCTTCGCCCCTGGGATGCTCATGCTACACTGTCATATTTGTGCTCCACCGAGGGACACCAAAATGGTGAAAAATTTTTCTGAATACCACATGGACCTGAATCTTGGCGAGATTATTTACATAAGACATTTTCTCAATTGAACAACTGCAGCGTTGAGGCTCCGTGGACCCAGAGATTGGAGATTGTTAAGTTTGAATTTGCAGTCTTTTTGGGACACATTTTTGAGAAAGAATATTTTACTCCCCCTTTCTTGAGTGTCTTTCATGTTATATATGTAATGCTTAAGGGGCTTAAAGGCCCGACTTTATTAGGGTTCAGAGTTTATCGATAAAATACGGTATTTATCTGCTATCATATCTCAGTTTCTTGACTTCAAATCTATGCCATAGTTTCGACTTCTTATATTAACTCCGAAGTGGTCTATTGGCTCGGCTGTTTGACTCCCTGACAAGACTTTTCCGGCAAAAGGTTTCGAAAAGGGTCTATACATCTATCGATCGAATATGAGATAAAAGAATACGAAGTTGTCTGAAAACGACCCATAAACAAGGAGAACGACAACAAGTAGGAGATTTTCTCAATACTTGGTAGTGCGCACCCGTGAATCAGCGTCATTTTGGCGGGAAAACGTGGTAGCCGTCGTCATTCTACTACAAGTTTTAGCGAGAACGTGGCGGAAACAAGTTATTAAATGCTAGAAGTTTTATCTTCTTGCGACCAGGAGAGGGCTTAAACTCCTTCGATAAAGTTATTAGTGCTAACTTTTGTGGTGAATCAAAAGTACAATAAAGCTTTCTGGGGTATCTATTTTTTGACAATACGCGAAAAAACTTTAAGGCAAATCCTGTCCTCGAAGTGTTTCTTGCCCTCGAATCTTAAGCCAGTTTGCAGCTTGATTTTCTTTCCAAGGTCAGTAACAAAAGTTAAAAAAATTATGACCCTTACCATATCACCAGGTCTGTCGGCAAATCCACCCGTTTCTTCGTCTTGGCAGGCAAGGATGTAGCTCCGTAACTTGTCCTGAAACAAAGCAGCAACATTATTGTAATCCTCACTTGAATCCTAAGTTGTGACGGTTTTCTACGATCGCATGTAAGGATCACTCATCCCGCCTGATCGTCAGAAACGCCACATACAAGTAGATAGCAAAAATATAAGTGCGCATGAAAAATATGTTTTTGCGAGGACTTTTAAATCGTTCACCCGTCAAAAACGATTCGTTAAGTGGAGAGAAAGTAACAGAAGTTATATCGCTCAGAGACAATGACCAAAGAATCATAGCCATTCTCGTTATACCGTGCTAATTTACAATAGCAAATTTCAGAGTGCCTTGCAGGGGGCATTATAGAAAGAAATAGCCTTTCCACAGACGTCTTTTCTTATTTCTCAACGATTTTTGCGTGCGCGAAGGGCAAGAAAAATTTCAAGAAATTTATCCACCCCCGCCTCACTGTTCCAGCGGTCAACAAATCCCCCGCGGTTTTACATTTATATGCGCGCTCGGCGATCTCTAAAGGCTAAAAACGGGGAAAAAATCTAACATCTTTTTGCTTGTTAAAAAAACCCAAACTTCAAGTTTTTTTCACCAATTTTTTACTACCAAGGAAACAACAAACTTAAATGAGGTTCAGTTTGAGATTTATCGTTCGTTCTTGATCTGCTGGTTACATCACTTTCATGTGATTAGAATTCCGCTCTGAAACAGCATTAATCTCAGGAATTTTACCTTGTCTATCCAGTGTAACTTGCCAATGATTTTAAGCGACGCTAACACCCACCAGGAGTAGCATACATCTGGGAGTTTTTCTGGCCGACCTGTAACAATCACAACAACAAAAAGGCACATGATCACAACTACCCGACCGTGCTTAGCTCTTAGAACCACGACTGAGAGATAAACAACAATTCAGTGCCCCCATCCAATTGGCCCAAAAGGTAGATAGCTCTATGCACTAATGAATCCTTATCACGTGGATTCACAAGACGTCACGGCGGAGTTGAACTCTTTTCTAAGGTAAACGCTTTCTTTTGTTCCATGCAATATTAAAATTTACATAAATGCTGGCCACACGAGTGAAAACGCTCTGTTATGGACTTGGGACAATTTATTCGGCCCCAGCATCACAGCCTGGCAAAATGATACTTAAATATCCTCGTCTCATACGTGAATAGTCCAATTTCGAAAGGCGTGTTTCCAAGCCCTTCATAACCACATTGAAGACATTAGGGACCTTGAGCAAAGTCGTTTTTTAGCGACGTACGTCAACCGGAAGTGGACTTTTCGCATTCTGGGGCAGTGGTTGTGCCCAAATGTTCGGGGCAAATTGTCTCTTTAAGAGTAAAGACACTTCGCAGTACAAATTTAGTAGTGTTAAGGCATATTAGAAGAAGAAAAGCCTCATTTCCGGTGGACTTTGTTTAAGCTCCTTATTTTTAAAATATCCTGCGTCATGTTAATATCGTTTTAATTTACCATTTGCCATTACTTTTCATTCGCAGGTGATGAAAAAACAACCTTTGGATTTTCAAATCATATTGAAAATAGACCAACTTTCCTGTCAGGAAACATAAACACAGATACAATTCTAGAGGAAGTGCTTAAATCTTTAGTTTCAGTTCTTCCAGTGCGCCAAACTGGCAAAAATTCTCTTCTAATACGAATTTCGAGACGGATTTCCGAATAAACCCTTTACCGTGTGATTTTATGGTTGTTTCTGACAAGAAAATAGGTAGATAAATTTGAGACACGACTGACACGCCCTTGACCGGATTCGTATCAGAGGCGTTTCCTGTCTCAGACGATCTTCCGGTCTTCTTCGACAAGAAGTCGAAAACAAGGGAAGTTTCAAACCCAGGACATGCATCTTCCTGTTTTGACTAACATTTTTTTAAAAAAAAACGTGCTTCTAAAAAACAACACACAGTTTCATCTGACACGCACATAACGGTCGAGAAGTCAGGTTACAAAACGAAGCACAGCCGAGGCTTTAAAGAACAACTTGGATATCAGATAATACATTAGCCTGCGAAAACATCCGTTTCTCCTCGCTCTTCGCCGTTGGGGACGTTTCGCGCAAAACGTCCCCAGCAGCGAAGAGCCGGGAGAAACGGATGTTTTCGCAGGCTAATGCTACATCGAGTGACGTAATTCATATACAGCTTCCCAAATGAGCCATAATTCTTTCGAATTCTCAAAAAAATGAAAGCTTAGTTTTGCAAATTTTGGAAGTGTTTTGGTATAATGCAGAAACTATTGTTGGTTCGTTTTCAGTCTAATGTATTACGTTATTTGGTGATTGCAATCGTCTGCACCCAAGTTTCTACCTTACCCAAAATCAAACATGGCGACCACACACAACAAACTGACTAAGCTCTCGTCTGCTAAAACAAAAATGCTCACACTACAAGCAAGGTGACTTTCTCCCAAGGCGTACTTCTTCGCAGAAAAAAAAAACCGAGAAGCCGTAATGTCAAAGGAAAGAACCATGAATGAAGTTGTGCATTGCAGGCTTATTTCATTGGAAAAAATATTGGCTGATACCGCAAATCTGCCTCCTTCTAACTTGCCATCCTGAAGGCGTTCTTTTTTGGGGGAAAGCGTGAAAGTCAACGGACGGGGAAAAGGGACAACAAAAAGGGAATCAGGATCGCCTGATGACAGGTTAGCCTCCTTCTTAAACAAATGACATAAATTAACGTCCAAATAACTCATGGGCTACTGATCATGTGCCTTACTGAGCTTAGGTCACCTGGATCCTAGCAGGCGTGAGAGGAATTTGGGCACAATTCCAACTGCGGCGCTGGGCACGAGGAATGAAATGGCGCGCGAGGAGAGAGGAAGTTTCTTGCGCGTGTCCCCCCTCCCGCGTCTATCACTCTTGCATCCCATATTCCACTTATGCGCCTAGTAAAGCATTTTGATCGCAAACCTTGCGCTTTTCGGTTATTTGTTTACCATTTAATCCGCCAGATGGAAGCTGTCTTTCACAAAGCCACCAACCCAACATATCAGCATTAACATGATGCAGAGAATCAGCAATGGCCAGAGCTCCTAGACAGCAATAAATCTGAAAAATGAAACAAGCCACTAAACAGACTAAACATGAACACAAATGCATTAACATTTAACCACAACACCTAAAGCTGTAACGTGAGAAAATCGCCGAGATAGTAATGGTAGGACAAATGAGAGTTTATGGTCGTTTCGTTTCGTTCCGCTTTCGTTCTGCCACAGAAATTACACGAACGGGACCAATGCCATGACTTATTTTGCATCTTTTTATGCATCAGGGACGCAGGATGAAGAGGTAAAAAAATCATTGAGAGGAATGAAAAAATGTAAAATAAAATGATGAATGACATAATTGAAAATTAACCAGGCACCATCATACCTGCCCTGAGTGTGATTCTGATCCTGGTCGACATCCAAAGCCACCATCAAAATTCATACAGGACAATATGTAATCTACAGCTTTCTGCAGGTCTATAGCATTCAGATGACCCTAAACAATACAGATGATAAAAAAGAAAAAAAAAATTACCACTGAATATGAAGCTTATACAAATCCAAGCAAAATCTTCCTACAAGCCCAGGAATAATGATGATGATGATGACAATGATAATGGCAGATTCTTTATGATTTTTAGTTAATTATTAGCTGAGGTTTTTGTGATATCTGGAATCACGGTCAAGGTAAGTGTTATCAGCCGAGCTGAAAGCTGAGGCTGATAACACTTACCAAGACCTTGATTATTTAGGATATCAAAAAAACTGAATCTGATAATTGTTTTATTATACATTGTTTTGAAGAAAATGAAGACAAAAACACCATCAGAAGGAACCTGAATTCATATTGTTATTGGAAATCATGCATTGTGGGTGCAACCTAAAGATTAGTCAGTTATCTGCTAGCAAATAGCTAACTAATCTGCTGTAGGTTGCACTGATTTCCAAAATTAGCTGTAGGCTCTTAGCCAATGAGAAGACAGATAATGATTACAATGTATAATAATATATAATATGTGTCTGGACTTACCAATAGTTTCAAGCTTGCAATTGCACAAAAAGAGAACCTAGTATCTACTTCTCCTAGGGATGAAAATAGAAAATTGATATTAAGAACTAACAAAGCACAAAATGGAGGTAAGATGCATACATTATCAGGAAACTTGGCACAGTCAAGCAATGTTTTAATCCATTGTAAAGTTAGTCTAAAATTCACTTATGGAAGGTTGGTAGGACTGTTAAGACGGAATCCACCAGGACATTGAGTAATTTTGATCTTTGGTGGACAAAAATCTTGTACCAGAATAATATTTAAAGCATATTGCATTCCTTCTTACATTTTTCATGGGTTAAAGATGTAATAAATCAACTGCAGTAACACCAAAAAAAATTTCCTATGGGAGCCCGAGAAAATAAATGTCAAATTTTACAAAATTTCATCTTACACATGAAATTTTCAGAATTTTACCTGTGTAATCACAATTCTTGTGAAATTTTACATTCCTTTTCTTGGACTTCCAGGAGAAATTTTCTTTGGTGTTACTACAGATAATTTATTACAAAAATGTAAAAAAGAATGCAATATTCTTTAAATTATTCTGGTACAAGGTTTTGGTCCACTGAAAATTAAAATTATTCAATTTCCTGGTGGATTCTGTCTTAACACTTTATGCCTGGCAATTGATCAGCTGTTATCTGCTGATAATCATCTCTTTGTACAGCCTGCCTGACTCAACAACTCAGGATATTATGCAAGAATGTGAAGGAGGAAAAGGTTGTATGGACAAGCCCCTTGTGCGAAATTACCATCTTTATGAAAAGAATCATGTTGGAGAGACAAAATTCTGCCCTGCAACATTTATATAAATTTCTTCCAATGTTATAACCTGAGAATATTTTATTCTGTATATGCGTTACATGTCAAAATAACAATCAGGTTGATTCTCAATTACCTTTGTGTCCTATTTCCAATTCACGAATAATCAGGGCTTGGAGACATTAAGGAAATTGAGAATCAACCTAAAATAATAAAAAAAGTAAACCTGAATTTATTTTTGACCTATAACATATGCATCCAGTCCAAGTTCACTTCACAGATTATTAACAGTGAAATATTGTTTAGAGATTTACAAAAGTGCTTCAGGTTCTGTGATTGTATACTGCTTAATGGATAAAACAAGCTAAAAAACATCTGAGACAGTCTTTTAAAAGGTTAAAAATGTTTTCTAAACTTTTGAACATAGTCCTGATCATTTTCAGAAATATATCCACTCACCAAGAGCTCATGAAAAAACCAAGGAGATATATTATTAACATACCCCACTTGTCACCAACAAAAGATCCATCTTCTTGTTGAAGCTTGGATACATATTCCACTGCCTTCTCAACATTTATTTTCTCAATACAATCATAAAGAGACATGACCTAATAAGGTAAATAAAAAAACTAATATTCATAATGAGCAGTATTCTTCAGTTGATAGTTTTGTTTGGGGGGTCTGAATCTGTAAAATAAATGCGCCTTTATTTTTAAGACTTCTTCCCACTTCTTTTGCTGGCTTAGAGTTTACCACAAAGAAGTTCTTGTGGTACAAAAATCCTACTCATGCAAAGACAGAACTTCTTGCGGTTTTCAATTCTAACCACAAAGAAGTTTTTCTGTCTTGCAGGATTCAAGTACAGGCACCCTGCAATTAAAAAGGTTGCAGAAACAAAAAGAACTTCTTACTCATGCATTATGTTTGGGCTGTGCTGTATATACCTGAATTGCACTTAGGGTGTAAAGAAGATGGGAATCGTGGTTTTGACTTGCTCCAAAGCCTCCATTGTCATGCTGACAAGACTGGACAAATTCCAGTATTTCATCTTTTTCCATCATGTCCTGCTTGTTCATAAGAAACATGGCAGTGAGACCCCAGTACACGCCACTCATTCGAAGATATTCCGTTATGCAGTACTCCTACAGAATTAAACCAAAATAAGCAAACATGAGGAAACACTACAACTACATATGGAAATGTCTTACTTTCAGTTGAGTAAATTTTCAGGATCCATAGATTAACCATTACAGTTCCTTGTCTGAATTTACATTAATAAAGTGCAGGACTTACATGTCAACACTCAACAATTAATTATTAAGAATGCACAGTAGCTTGGTATGGGTATTTTGTAGTATACCAAAGTAACTCATGAAATTTAATTATTAGGGTTGACCAAGGAACCATGTGAATCAAGTTCCAGTTATGATCGTTATACAGGATGTACTGCACTGGATTGAAACCTGATTTACTTACTAACCCTAATCACTACACTACAAAGTCGTTTAGGAACTCAATGGCCGTTAGTTCCCTTGCAAACAGTAGCGTAAAGAAATATAACCATCAGCTAATTCTCCACTTTACAGGGAGGTAGTTCGCTAAAGGGTTTACCATTTCAAACTCTAGCACAAACAGAGGACTTGTAATATTCAACTTACATAGTCATCTTTTTTCTTTCCATATGCTGCAATGAAATCAGCATGTTTGCCCAAAAGCAAATCCTTAGGAGAGTTAGGTGGGATTTTAACATCTTTCACTTGCGATCCCTAACAATGAGACAAAAAAGTTTAATATTAATTAACTTTGCACTTGAACTTGAAAAAAGGGCAAGTTCATTTGTTATTTATCTGCACGTACACAAATAGCTTGCACAAAAAAATGCATTATAGGTGAATAACTCATAGTAGCTGGCATTTCAGCAGTATCAGTTTTGTTCTTGGTGTTTTGGATCCACTGCTAACACACCCACTTTTGAACTGTCAGCCACAAATAATTTACAGTCGCACCTCCACTAAAAACCACCTCTCCACAATGGCCATCTCTCTACAATGGCCACTATTTTTGTCCTGGCAGACAGTCGATACATTGACTCTCAATTAAATCTCTCTAAAACAGCAACGGCCAACTCTCTACAACTGCCAAAATAACCTCAGATCCCAATATATGGAAGACAACCTAGAATTTTGCAGGTTGATATATCCCACAAAATTTCCTTCTACGCATGAATGAGTGAATGAATAAATGTATATCCTTTATTTAAACACGATTAGTATAAAAGCAATAAACATGCTTGAGGGGTCATGTGTACTAGTCTATCATAAAACAAGAAAAGTTATATCAAATTCATGCCTGACTATTAAGATGAGATGAATTGAGTTTGAAATTTTATTGTGACTTCTAAACCCAAAGTTCACTGGTACTAAGCTTATATGACGTTTAATTTTGAATTAACAACAACGTGTATGCCACAAAATCCCTCGCGTGACAAGGTAGTTAAGAAGAGGAGTAATTTTAAATAACAATTATGATTACCCTCCTCGTTTGTGCAGTTCAAAAAGTTTTGAGATTACACTTTAGTTTTTCTTACCATTGTTTTTCACAAAAATGCACAAAACATCATTCCCTTCTCCGAAAAATTCCCTCCCAGAAGGACGCCATCTTGCAAAATAATTCCGCTGGTCAGGTGTCATGTGAGGCTCATTTCTCTGGAACCTGGACAGAGGTCGAGGGCGCCCCACCCCCCCGCCCCCAACGGGTGCCACCCTTTGTAATCCCCGAGACTCAAGCAGTCTTCGCGAGCCGAAAGTGAAGCTGAATCGATCGAAGAAGAGTCAAGCGGATTTTACGATTTAAAGTTAGTAGCCAGCAAGATATAAAGGGCAAAATCTGTCATCAACGCGAAGCGCTCTTTTAGATTTGACGGGTAGCTCCTGTAGTATATGATGATCTTCCCCCCTTCATAAGAATATTTTTGGGGGCGGCCCCTCCTTTTATCCGAAATTAATTGAGGTGACCCCAACCCCCGCTCCTCCCTAAACAGAAATGACAAAGAAAAAATGAAAAATGACTAACTGAGTTTGTTATTTTTTTCCTAATGAAACATTCGATTTGGTATTCCTTTATGCATTTTAGAGGGATAGAATTGCCTTTTGGCGCATAATAAAGTAGGGGGTCCGGGGGCATGCTTCCCTGCGAAAATTTGAAATTCTTCGGAATGTCAGAAACGCTGGTTTTTGGCATTCTGGTACGCTTTTTGCATTATTACCGGCAAATGCCGTCACAGCAAAATTTGAAGGAATTTTTTGGTGATCCCTCTTTAAAACCACTATTTTTTTTCTTTTGACTCCCCCTTTAGAGCCATCTTTTTCATGCCCCCCCCCCTCAAATCCCACCAGCCCCTCCCCCCCTACCTGATGAAAAATGAAGGATCCCTAAGTGAAACTAAAAAAGTCACAAGACATTTTTGGTATTGAATAAATTTACTAATATTCTTGTCAGTAATGCATGTTCTTGTGCACGAGTAACTCTGTCTATTTATGAATTGCCACGATATGTTCGATGAAAATGGAAAAAAAATTGCGGCTAACAATTATGCCCTCCTTTCAGGTCACACATTCTAACATTGATATATTCAGCAAGAACCTTAGTATCATCAGCATCATGCACGTCGGAACATGTTTTTGACCAGGCAACAGCTGAAGATGTGGTGCTCGGTAACCTCAAATGTTTTGTATTTTGCATTGTTTATTTGCTGTGTGTTGTCCCGCCAAAATTAGCTTGATTAAGCCAGCACTAGATCTAGTCCTACCAATTTACTTAATTTAACAACGTTGCTGTTATTGGTGATCCGGAAACAGTCCAATTCATGTAGCCCACTCAAACAAGGTCGATGTCTGACAGTACACTCAATAATTCAAGATACGGACGAGCATGGAAATACTCGGGTTGCATCAACATTATACAGACCGCTTTGCGTCGTTGCCGTAATAAAGGATTTAACCAAACTTGAACACTTTCTTCACTGGTCGCCAGCTGGCTTAAAGGTACCTGCCTGCTCGTTGGTCCATCGTCATCTCGAGTGAATTCAGTCTTCCTTCGCCGCAAAAAGCACAACAAAAATCTTCTCCAAGTCTTTGCTCTCTGTGGCCGCGGCATTGTGGAATAAACAATACATTCAGATGTATTCCAAATAAACAACAGAACTAGAAGTAATCCCCGTGCCAGAGTACAAGAACGCTCGTTGTGATTAAACGCCAAATGCGGTGGGCCAGGCTTACTACAGGGGAGCGGTTTGTTTTCTTTTGCGAAATGTTGTTTTTCAAGGTATTGCCTTGTTTTGATACAAATAAACCGGAGCATGTTTGCCTTACTTTTCAATAAATAGAGTGAAGATTTTTGTTTTTGTGGATTGTTTTTGTCCATTGGATTAAAAACATTAGTTTTGATTGGTGACCGATTTTGCTAAACCTAATTTTGGTCGACATGAGTTCGTCACAGTTCGTCATGACTGCAGGATCAACAGCCTTGATGACGTCGTTGACCATCCTCGTCTCCAGGACAACCAAACCCAGAAAAGCACGGGCGGTTCGTTGTAAACAAATGAAGAAAGCTGACCATTTACCAAGAAATTCCGGAAATTCCGGGTGGTATGTTAATGGCACACAGGTTTTCCGGGCGTTCCACTGGAAAGTTCCCGGGAATAAGTGGAATTTTTGAAAAGGTCGTCCTGCTTTCCCGTTGGAAATGCAGTGGAGAAGTGTGACGTCACGTTACCATGGTAGCACTATTTCTGGATGACAACAAAACCAACGATGACGGCGACGGCAAGGAGAACGGCAAGAAATGATATGTTTATATTAACAAACAACAACTTTGCACGTGCATCACGCTGTTTTGTACATTTCTTTGCCGTCGTTGTACCACTACGACATGAAACTTCTTAATTTCACGAGCCCGCTTTATGGAGTAGGTGAACACAACACAAAAATTGTCGCTTTCTTTTTCTAAACTTAGATAACGATAGATACGGTCCCAAAGAAAGTAACGCCAAGATTTGCCAAATTAAATGACATTGAATAACAGCGGTGAAGTTTAAATTATCGCTTTGTTGTCATCCAAAAATTTTGCTACCATGGCAACGTGACGTAACGACTCTCCTCTCTATTTTCCGGTGGAAAGCACGTTCCATTAGGAGTTTTCACAAGGCATCACCAGTTCCAGGCTATTCACGGCGATATCTGTGCCACGAATGGAACTCGTGTCAAATGAACACGTTCTTCACTCGATGGACCTTTCCGTGGAAGTTTCCGAAAGTTTTTTGGCAAACGGAAAACGCCACAAGAAACGAATCTGAGACTAAAAACGTGGTACAATATCTTCATTGCTCCAATAAAATGAATGAGTTGCAGAAATACTAGCAACGGCGAAACGACGTCAATGAAGAAGAGCAGGCCAGTTCATGATTTGCACTAACAGTTGGCGCTGGCTATTTACAGTGTTAAGTTTATATAGCCTATATGCGAAATACTTCTTTTTCGTGTCTTTTCGGGTTGTCGCTTTAGACTGTATTCACAATCAACTATTTTATTAATTATTCATTGACTACGTTACACCTTTGTAACCCAAACAGTAATAAAACAAAAGAGCTCCATATACAGTATAAACATTGTTCAGAAGGACTTCTTATAACGCAAGTGTCAACTCAGTATGTCTACCCAACCTGTTTCGTGCGAACAAGATCACGAAAGAGAGGACCTCGGTAAGGCTATCGTTCTAACAATAAGGGTGTAGGAACTGGACTTCGAGCGTCTTGTGAATGGCTATCCGCCTTCTCGTTATTGTTCCAGCTTTTTCGTAAAGTCGAAGAGACTGTATAGTCAAGTTCTCCTGAACTATCCATACTCGTTCTCTCTATCATCAGAAACAGAGACAGAACCGCTCCTTTGTCCTTAGAAATTATTGGATAAGTCTGAGTATCATCTAAAGAATCATGGCATCCTGTGAGGACGTTCTGTCCGCCGTAAAAGGGGGATGAACGATGATCATTCAATAGCCCCTAGATTGGAATATCGAAGCCCGGCAAAGAACTCTGGTTCGACGTATGTTTCATCATAAACACCAGAGGTGCAGATGGTTAGTCCGTGGGAGGACCTTCTCCAATCTCATAAAAGAGACTTCGTACATCCAACATTGAGGCGAGTTCAAGAACTTGCTTTTCTATACCGCCGTTGAGTAAGATCTCCGCCGGCAGCTTGGGGAAGCTCTTGGGATAGTAGTCTGAGCCCTAAATTGAGAACGTGGAATGACTTATCTGTATACAATGAATGATAAACTGTAACTGGGACGCCAATACTTAGGGAGGAAAAGTGCTTATTTAAAGAGGCGCTATTTCGTCCGTCAATTTTCCACCTTGGTAAGATATTTAGTAAAAGGTCCCTGCATCCAGTCGTTCGAGTGCTACAAAACGGGCTTGCTGGAGAACAAGAGATGCAATGGGAGAAGACAACAAAGGAAATTACCATTTTAAATGATGTAAGCTCTTTGTTTGTCTTGTCCTTGTGCGTCGCTTGCTCTCCAAAACGTTGGTTTTGTACCACGTGAATAACAAGCTGCAAAGGACCTTTCATTAAATGAGGCTGAGTATAATCTCAAGAATGATACAGATCTCGGAGGGTCTCGATCTGCATAATGCGACACTTCAACGTCCTGTTGGTTGCGATAATCTTACAATCTTACCAATCCAACCGAATTTCTGTCTTACTATCCTTCGCATCATTCCGCAAAGATTTATTGTATGTGTTCAAGGGACCCCTTCATGCTCTCTATATGCCGGTTACGCGACTTCAAACCGAATATTAAATAAAAACTCGATGGGCCAGGGCGTTTTTGAAGCTCGGTGCTAAGAATAAATTCGAGCGTCTATGGTATGTGTAGAAAACTTAACAAAACAGAAAAAAATGCGCTACTTTGCATGCAAGAAGGCCCGTTTTTTGGAAAATTTTTCCTCCCAAGACGCCCCTCACTTTAGAAGTTTTCGATCTAGCAGGTATCATTTTTTTCCTCTGAATAAATGTTGGTAGCCATTCTTTTTTAACCCATCTTTTTGTACGCGTTATTATTTCTAATAAATGGAAGGGCAGGTCACTGAGGTGGAACAGAAGGCCACTGTTACGAAAAATAACCACTGTTCTCCTTCATTGGCCACAACAATCAGAACAATGACCTGCTGGTTCTAAAACAATAAAAAGATGCATGGAATCGGAAAATATCCTCGCTACTCAGTCGTCTCAAAAATATTAACCTCGCGCTGCGCTATCGGTGATTATCTTATCGGTCAGGTATTATCTTAAACATATCACTATTTAAGGAACCCCGCCACTTCCACTTGTGAAACAATACCTTGAATGCTCGATGAAGATGCATGGTGTAAAAACAGAATACAAAACGAATAATCATCAAACGAAGAAACTCGTCATCAAGAAGCTGAAGGAAGGCTAGATCTGCAAGAAAAAAAGAAAGACTCATCTTAATGGATTTTCCGTTTACAAAGCCATTCAAGATCGTTCTTCAAACTGTGTCCCCATTTCGCAACTTTCAAAAAAATTAGCCACGATCCACGCAGACGTTCCTGGGGCTTCGTCACGAGTTTGTTATAAGAAATCTAGGAGCTTTTCCTTTTTAGGAGACTTTTCCTGACTCTTCTAAAGTCTCGCGCTAAATTTCTCAAGGTTCAAAGCCGTACACATCCCAGATCTCGAAGTGGGCCGTGATCGGTCTACGTTTTTAACCTCTCGTTTTGGCAGTCGTTCGGAAAAGGTCCAGCGAGGAGACCCATTAGTGAGTTTAAATAACAGATGTTGTCCTTCGAGTTGTCTTCTTGCTATGTTTTTATACAATAGGCTCGTCGTGAATCGAATGAAATGTTCCGCCGACTGTTCGGCCATTTTTCTTTTCACAACCAAAACAACTCAACTTCGTCCCCAGGTCTTCTCGGTTAATGGTGTATTAACCTCCAACTGTGCTGCACTTTTGACATCATCGGTTGATTAATAGCAAAATTCTTCCAAATTTGGTCAACAGTAGCTGGCTATGGTGAGTCAAGCGCGTGCTTTTAGCCAATCAGAAACGGAGAAATATTTTGAATGGACAACAAAAACATTTATAAGTTTGTAATGAACCTACAATTCAATCACCTGCCTGTCAATTAAAGTTGTAATGAGCTAGTGATTTGATTTGGTTAACAATCGCATTACCAATACTGATGCCGCCATTCGAAGGGATCACGACAAGCAGCAAGACAGTCGACTTAAAACAGTTCTTAGACAGTCCTAGAGCATGCGCAGTCGACTTACCAACACATCGTGACCAGTCGTAAAACACTCGAAGACAATCGTTCATGATTCGTCGAACTTGTCGGTGACAGCTATCCCACAAGTCACTGCGGAGATCAGCGATGCTACAGACATAACAAAAAGCCACCAATGGACTAAATAGGAAGAGCGAGAATAAACTTCCCTTCCGACTTTGCTCTGGAAAACAATGATCCAAAGAAAGAGTTATACAGCGTGAGTTATGGAAACTCCATAGTACTATCATTAATCGTCGACTACAACCGAACCTGTATTAAGCAGACCTCTATTAAGCAGTGGCCCTTGAAATAACTAGAGTAGAGAGGCTACTGCCTTTTGTTTCATCTATTTAACAGACCTTCTAGTCTTCTCAGATTAGGGCAGAAAACCGTAAGTCTTGTCTCAGAGTACTTTAACTGAGTAGACTCTTGTGGCATGCAAAAGGACTACAATGGGCATAAGATTCTCTGGCAGTGACCACCCCTGAGGTCTATTTCCAAGCAATAGTGACTTTTATTATATCTCTCTGTTGGTGGGTGCACTGTGATTAGTCAGTTTAGTGGGTCAGTAGTATTTCACGGTCAAACCGTAAAGTCGAAAGTTTGCTTTGCTTGCGATTATTGACAGAGAAACTATATTGTAAGGCTTTCGTTTCAAGTAGTTTTGGACTATAAAGGATGTGCTAAATGTTAAATGAATGTTGTTGACAATTCAAAGCCACGATTTTGCAAACCTCACTACCGTTCCGCTTGAATCGTAATATGCGACGTCCTCTCCGTCTCTATTTAAACCCAGATATTTTAATATAAATCTTACTAGCCTCCTTTTCTTGATCCCCAATGTAAGTCACGGAACCTTGTGTTTTCCACTTGGATTTATTGACCAAGCGCTAAAAAACTCGGTCCGGAGAACTTAAAGCACGGACCTCGAACTCGCTTAGAGAGCTACGTAATTTGGTATTCGCCTATTAGCCCCCGAAAGTGTTTGAAGTGGTCTAAATCTTTAACAAAATCTTAAATATATCGCTTGAAAAACGCAACAAGGCAGTTTCAACTACGAGCACTAACGTATTTACCTTGCATCGTCGTGGGAACTGTTATAGGCGACATCAAGGAGATAAGCGGCTGCCCAAACAAACTTGGAAAATACTGCAAGTGAAAGCAAAGTACGGTCAAACTATTTTTAGACAGAGACCAGTAAAGCTGCCCCGGGCTGGAAACGAGTTTAGCGAGAGATAAGCGTCCACTCAACGCGTAGATAAAACCAACTGGTTCTTTCTTGCCGGATCTCTGATGTAGAGATGCTAGAGCCAGGCGTCACTTGAAGTTGAAAGTAAAACAAAACTGAAAGCAAGGTTGGCAATACGGTAAAGGGCTGATTTATTTGTCTGTACTATGAAACCACCAGTGACTGATTCGTTAGAATGCTGGTTGTCCTGTGGTACCAAATGTATTCTCCGCGAAATATGAGCAGATTTAGCAGTAGGGGTGCGACGCTTCGACCACAGCACGCGTTCCGACGTTTTTTTTGAGCGACGCACGTCAACCGGAAGTGAATCTTTTTTTTCTTTTAACATGCCTTAACGCCACCGCATATGTATGGCTAAGTGTCTACACTCTTATAGAGACGATTTGCCCAAAACTTCAGAGCGCGAGCGAAAAGTTGCAAAGAACTCGTTTCCCTAGTGCTGTCGCGTCCTAAATTTGCTAAACCTTACACTGCTTTGCAACAATTTTGGCGAAAAATTCATTCAGTTAAACGCCCAGTATAGAAAGTCGTTTCTGTAAAACGAACATTAATATCTGCCTGTGGGTAAATAGTCACTTTAAGAAGCAAAAACTGGTTCTTTACCATTTACATAGACAAACTGGTCGGTTCACGGTTTGGGCAAATGGAAAGCAAAATTCCGGAATAGCAAATATCGTCCCTGATTCGTGTTTACCATTTATACAAATCAGTTCCTTTAACCGAAAAACGGCTGGGGAGGCCTGAAACTGGTATCAAAGACCGCTTTGAAAAAATGAAACTCAAATTTTCGTTTGAAACATTCCGTCCAGAAAAACAGGACTACCTTTTCAGATGTTCCGTAGCTCCCAGACGTTTTTCGTTGGAACGGCCGAAAAACTCGTGTTCCATTTAGACACATTGAACACTGCACAGCTAATCGTACTACGTGGAAATTAACTTTACAAGACATCAACTGGTCTCCCTCGCAGCCGCTCTGGTGGGAGCCACGCAAAAAGGGCCCAGGAGGATGCGAAGGAGACTAGACATCAACACGACTCCGATAAAACCCAAAACAGAGCGGTGTTGTAGCCGTCGACAACAGTTTCGCCATTACTGTGGCTCGTCAGGACGGCGCAACAACAGACAGGTGTCTTGCAAAGTCAATTTTCACGTAACACAATCAGCTTTGCAGAATTCAATGTGTCTACTTGGTATTTTTTCTTGATTAGCTTTTCTTTAGATCCTACGCTCTGCGGTATACTCGTTTGCGGTACTTTGCAGTTAATGTTCATTGAATTTCAATTACTTTTCAACCGGATTTTCCGGAAAAGTTTTGCAAATAGTTAGCAACTACTAACTAACTCATACGAGTCGGTTAGAACATGTATCGTGAGAACATGTATCTATAGGAAGTAAAATGACCGTAAAGAGGTCTTGTTCATACTCACCCTAAAAGCATAACTATTGGAGCTATCTACAATCACCATAAGAGGCTTCCTGCTGAACGGCACAAGGTCTTCTGGGTACAAGCTGAAGAACACAAATAATTTATGCCCAACACAAATAAGAACACAAATAATTTATGCAGTTCTTTGTATTACTGGTAGACCAGTTTTCAGTCGAGCGTAATCCGAGCGTGTTCAGTTGAGCGTATTCTTGGGCCATCGTAGCCTAAGCTAAATACAACGGACGCAACAACCCCCAACATTGTTGGGCTAACAATGTGGGGATTTGTTGCGTCAGTGTTGGTAATGGTGTGCTAACGGATGCAACATCTCCCAACAATGTTGGGACCTGCATTGTTTAGTGGGAAGGATACGACCCATAAGAATTTGAAAACCATGTGTAATGCGCCTGCTTGCGCTACGCTTTCGCCATCATGGAACAAAAGAAATGTTGAGAGTTGTTCACTGAAAAGTTTGACCGGTTTCAAGGTTGCGCAACAACTCCTAACAACATGCAAGAGGATGTGCAAACGGACGCAACATGTAACATCCAACAATGTGGGGTGGGGCTTATAAGCCGCAGTTTACGGTACACAAATGTCACGCACCAGTGAACATCCTTTAAGTTGGCTCTCGCACGTCTTGTACCTTCCTCGTTTCCCGCCTTTTTGTGGCACATGGCAACACCTCCCATCTCGTAAGGACCTGGGATAAATCCCAAAGGAGAGAATTAAAAAATGCAAGAGTCAAGATTTTATGTCAGTATCACAATTGTTCACACTAAACTAGCCTGTTTCAAGCGTTGAGATTGTGGGGAGGGCGCAAAAAGATGTAAGCAAGAGAAACAGCTCTCTCTTCCTTCGTATTTTTTCCCCGCACTCTGACATCGCACCGAATTCAACTATCCACTAACCTTCCTCTCCGGCCTTTGCGTTTCCAAGGCAACCATCACTGGAGACATAGATAAGCATAACGCCATTGCTAGGAAGTTCCTGGGGAAAAACCGGCATACATTATAGTTATTTACATCGTTCTAGAATAGAGCTTTATGCTTTAATACTGGTATGATCCGCTTTTCAAAGAACTCGATAGAGAGACATGCATTAGGAAGCAATGAGTAAAAAGACACGACTTTAGAAAACTAAACAACCACCAAACAAAAACATCATCACCTCCGTTACTCAAGGCCAGGTTCCCTAAGGGTGTTCTCGTTTTTAGAAACGAAATTTCTCCCGCAGTTTCTCTTCTAACGTGACTCCTGCATGAATACCTGAAAACCCAGACCTCAAGCCCTCTGCAAAAACAGGATGTCTGGAGTATTCGCAAGGTAGCAAGGGAGAGAAATGGTTTCCCAGTCACCAGCCCATCTTTGTGTCGTCTCGCAATGCGTCTCGCCGGGGTGGAGGGGGGGGGAAGAGTAAAATTTAAATAAAAACAACTAGAACTCAAAGAAAGAATGCGTTTGAGACACTGGGTCGGACCTAGAATGCAAGGAAACTCTCCATTTATGGCTAGTCAAGCGACCCGCGGGAGAACAAGCGGGCGAACGCGTGATGCTCTCGCGTGACTTCTCTTGACTCCCCCAAATGGACAGCATGCTCGCAGGATAGGCCGGTCCCAGAGGTGAGACATCAATGCGAGAGAAAAAATGTGTTTTGCTGCACAAACATATAACTAACCTTCAAACCACAGGCCAGAAAAACGTACAACTGTGTTAACGTTGGTTTGTATAGCAGATACTTGTGGGGATTGGGCCTCTTGGAGAACGAACGAGCAATTTCGCTGGTTTCCTAAAAGAGAATAGCATTTCTCTGACCGTTTATAATAACTACCGAAACTAGAACAACAACAGATGTTGGCCGGATTTCGTCTTTTGATTAGAGACCTTTACATTCGATGACTACGACGATGAGATTTGACTTGAAGGTTTTTCTTTGCGTATTCTACAAAGCTACGGAGAACTCGGAAAGCTTCAATTTACTTTTTTTCACCACAAAAATTTTAACGGTTATTTTTATAGACTGCTATTATCTTTATTGAAGGAGGTTAAGCCCCCTCCCGATCGAAAAATGATAAATCTTCCAACATCATAAACTTGTTTCTATCAGTATGACACTTTTGCCAAAACCAGTAGTAGAATGACGACGATTATCACGTTTCCCCTGGGTAAGAAATTATCAGATCCAAGCTTGCCCGTCTGGGCTCGCAAAAATATATTTCATTTTATAATAAACCTGAACAGGGCTCACTTTATCAGAGGGGCTTTCAGAGACTTCGTTGGTGGTGACCAAGGTACGTGGTGGAACTTCCTCGGGTTCCCTCTCCAGGGCCTGCAGCATGCGGAACATGTCCAAAGTTAACTCACTAAATTTTACCTGAAAAACAAGGAAAGAAATGAGGATTGGTATTTCAAAATATATATTCACATCCAATACTCTAAACTTGCTGACTTCAGGTTTTAGGCCTGGGGAAGAGGTTGACATATTTCCTGAAATAAATACATAATCCAGTTCTAACCTACGAACGCAGACTTATTTCCGATTGTCGTTTCTCTCCGCGCGGAGAGTAGCGACAGCCGGAAATATTTTTGCAATCTACCGTCCAAGATCTAACGCTTCTGAATAAAGATTTTAAAATTTTTCTTTTTAGAGAGTAAGTCAAAATTTATTTTAAGAGAATTGTCGATACACTTGTAAATATAACATAAGCTTCTCCTGTCTAATTACCATGAGTCGTGATCAAAGAGTACCCCAAAAAAGTTGGATTCCTTGATACGATTAATGTTCGAGAATTTTTCAAAAGCAAGAAAAATTGGGGATATATTTTTATCATATACGTACTGAGATATATTCAATGAAAAGCTATGACGTAAATTTTCATACGCAAATGAGTTCTAGCCAATCAGTGGTGCGATGTTTTTCAAAGAAAGAAACATCCAATCAGAATCGCGAACGGTGAGAAAAAAGATACGTCCAATCAAAAGCCACAGAGGTGGGTGTGTTTCGGGCCAAAATTCCCCCTTTTTACGCGATTGCAGTGCCCTCGTTATGCGAGTTCCTTCGCGGACATTCAATTAGAAAAGACCATAAAGTAGAGTTTTTCTCGTAGAAAACATCTCAGATATTAGATTGGTACAGCTTTTTTTTTAATATTTCGCTATCGATGAAGAAAATTGAGGAGAGCCGAATATGTAATTCCTGGATTACTCCATTTCCTTACTCTCATTATAATTTTTACCAAGCGTTTCTTTTAAAATACTAATAAGCTTTACTTCGTTTTCTTTTTCATTCGTGGTGTGTAGCGACATATTTTAGCATTTTAGGATTTTGGAAAGATTTGAAATAAAAGGCTGGCAAAATGATGAATGTCTCAGTATGAATATAATAAACACAATACCCCACGAAAAGTGCTTTGTGCGGCATTTACGGACTCATTGTTTTTGTATCAGAAATCTCACTCGTTCGCGGCGCTCAATCGTTCGATTTCTGATACGTCAACAATTCGTGCGCAAATACCGTAGGCACGCACTTTCCGTGAAGTATTCTATATCAGGCACATGCCCAGCCACCAGACCAACATACCCCCGAGGTCGTTAGCAGCTAGATTAACTGGTTTGAGTGTATACTTTTTAAAACCGTTTCTGCCATTTAATGACAACCTTTCCCCACAAAAATCAACCTCAGTGGCCCTCTTAAAGCGGAGAAAAAAATACCTGCTTTTCACAGTTCCCCACAATAATAATTTCTTGTAAAGATAAGGCTGTACCGCTGACAGGCCTCTGAGCTGGAATCTCCTGTAGTGGAAAATTGTAAGGAAACATATTGGTCCATATTTAATCTAGGCATCACAGCCCACTCATAACACAACAACCCACAGTCAGATCACAGCTTTTGAAAGACGTAGCCTGTTGACAGACCGTCTGTTTTTTCTTAAGAGATCGTGAAGCGCGCGCATGAAAATAAAAACCGCGGGAGGATTTACGTTCTCGCGCTCCGTGCTCACTCTCGCGCGGTTAATTCGCTCGCGTGCTTGTCGATTTTTGAACAGAAGAAGAAAAACAACGTCTGTGTAAAGATAGTCTGTTTACAGACTTCTTACTTTTTTGCTCGACAACGTGCAAACGTTTGTTTTGCTGATAGAAACCTATCACTTTTTTGTCTTTTTTGTTGCCGTCGACGTTGCTTTGGGCCTGTTTACATGGAGGTAGGGGACCCAAGGTAGGTGAGGTAACCCGCTTATGTGAGGAAACCCGCCTGTCCATATAATCTCTCCTGTGGTCACCCCCACCTACCATGTAAACGCGATCAAATTACAACGAGAGATTATATGAACAGGCGGGTCTCACCTACCTGGGGACCCCACGGCAACGGCGGCGAAAGTGTCACTTACAAACTGAATTGGCGGCGATTATTCCAAATCGCTTACTTTATCAAATGCAAGCGAACTCTTCTGGAGTTGAAATTCAAAGAAAGTTCTCCATGAAACGTAAAAGCCTTTTCACGTCCAAGCCGTGCAGTGACGGGTACATTCAAAATTACGGGGGAAAAGCTTTGACAGCGTTTTTATCTGAACGATGAGCTATCGCGGACGTTTTCACCCCTTCTGGCAATTTCATACCTCTCCAATGCAACGAGGAGTAGCGAGATGCTAAAATCAAAACCTCTAAAGATGCTGGAAAAACGCAGTTGATTGCATAAATAGTGAGTGACTGTCACGCGCCGAGTGGACGCAGCGAATATGCACGAAAACTTGACGAACATCTGCCAGTACATATCTTCGGTAAGTGCGGGAACTTTACCTGCCCCGCTCCACCAGACGAAAACTTTTCAACAAAAGAGTGTGCTAAACGACTTAGAAAGTATAAATTTTTCTTAACCATTGAAAGCTCTCTTTGTGAAGACTACATTACAGAAAAATACTAGCTGGGGATTTGGACTTCAAAACGTCCTTGGCCTATTGTCCTTGGCGGTGCAAACTACAAAAAACTCGCAATTCCAGGATCTTTCATAGATGTTCAAAACTTTCAAACTGTCGAACAATGAGCAAAGTATATTGAGTACTTAGACAATAATGACACGGCGTACGATGCCTTCTTTGAGTGGAAGAAATACTACAGACTCGAAAAGCCGGGTCTTACGTTCGATTGCGCACTCTGCGAAGCTATACATAGTACAAAGCGAAATACGCGAAAAGTCCATGACCATTTTGACAAACATTGGTACAAAAACAAATACTATGGTCGGATTAAGTTACTTAGAGCAGAGGCCTTGCTATATACAAACAGATTGCACTAACTTTGTAATCCTTACCTCTTCTGAGGTTAGGGTCAAACGTCGAACTTTTCATGGGACGAATCTGACGCTAACAAGTCAGAACAACAGATTTTGCTTACTGCTTATTAGCATTTAGTTCGTCACATGGGTCAAGTTCGATGTTTGACCTGAGCCTTAAGGTATAAATGATGAGAGTGTTAAAATGAAGATACGCTTCTAGACGTTCTCATGCACATCTTGCAAAGTGTGTGTATGTTGTTTTTATACAAACACTTGTTGGCGATTGGACTTCCCGCAAAGAAAACTGTTCGAAAACTTTTCCGTGCAAAATTCAATACAACGCATTATGAGAATAAATGTACCACGTGCCGGAATTCTAAGGAAGTTACCGTTAATTTGCTAGAAAAATCTTCACAGCACCCATCAATTCAGTAGACTGTTAAACTAAGAATGGAACCTCGAGTTTGATAACGAATGGTCAAAAATAAAGTATGGTTACCGATTAATTTCTGATTCCTCAGTTTTTTTAAAGGAAAATGAAAAGATTGTTTCTGGATAAGAAGATCGTCTATTTTTCCCTTTGAATTTTCTGCGTGCCGCCATTTTGAATTTGTGGGCTATGGTACAGAAATAAAGGCTGATTCTTAACTCACATTTTCGGCCATTCTGTGTGATAGAGTGACGGGTACAACATCGGGGGTCATAACTGTCACCAGGGAGTCCGCCTGTATAAAAGAAGAACTAAGTCAACACGTGGTCAGCCTTCAAGATAGGAAGATACCGTAAACTGCCGCTTATACTGAAGCCCTGGCCTGTTCTAAGTTCTAAGTGTCAAAAATATGGTTTCGTTTTCTGAGCGCAGCGTAGACCAAACGCTAAACTTGAGATCTATAAAGTGTTTCAGGATCGCTTGACTTTTCTTAATCGATATATGATAGTTTAGATTAGATGGATTTTTTCGATTTGTCAAATTTATTAAAAATACTGGACTGCCAGTCATCCAATGTTTGAAAACCTTGACCGGTTACCGGCCAAATAGCCACAGCGTTCGAGAAAAGGGCCGCAGGCCTTGGTGTAGCTCACCTCCATAAACGCTGTGACTTCACTGATCACCAGTCTCCACTCTTCATCATCCTCTGCCTCATACACGCTCACATATTCCTCTACATAATGATGAAGTTCTTGAATAAGTTCCTTCACAAGATCCACCTTGTTGAGAAGCAGACTAACCACAATGAAGCGTGCATAATAACGCAACTTCTTTACCATCAAATCAGGTCTGAAAAGAAAACAAAAACAAACAAGTTGCCTCCAGGGGCGTAGCCAGCCCATAGACCTGTAGGCCCGGGCCCTACAAATTTTTGGTTTGATCACTCTACCGCTTGTAATAACTTATGCATTGTTGGGGTGAGCTAAAAAGCTTAAGAGCTCAAAGAAACGCGTGCAATTTTCAGGATATGTGGAAATGAAAGTCAGCCGGGCCTACAACTAGTCGAAAAGCTGGCTACGCCCCTGGCCGCGCTATCCAAATGTATACTGGTCTCAGTTGTAAAGGTGGAAAGCGCTATCTATTGGACAGTGATTAATACTGTGGATAGTGCTATCCAACTTTTCAAGCCCGAAGCCAGTTTCTTCCTGCCGCTAAAATCTTGTTTGAAGATGCGCCATATTGACCAATAAACAATCGATAGTTCCAGAAGGAATTTTAGCAAAAAGTGCTTTGGATTTCCATGGCATTAGCCTGAAAAATCAGCCAACAACCACTGGTTTCCCCTCGAAATGACGACTGAGAAACAAGCACAGAAATTCCATACTGATGACGCGCCACTACCAAGCTCTGGGTAGATTTCTGGGTAGTGCTTCTGATTGATTGGTTGAAGCAAATTTCCTTCGCGGAGCGACCAATCAAAGGTGCCACCCAGATCTGGGCAGTTACACGTCATGTATGGAATCCTCAGACGTCATTTGCTCAGGGAAACCAGTGGTGGCATCGCAAAATGTCGGCTGTTTTTCTCAGGCTAGCATGGGATTGGCTAAACAGTCAAACAGGAAATACGAGAAACTAAGGACCGAAGTAGCGCATCTCACATAAATAAACCCACTCTACACAACACTTTTAAGCAACTCATAACCTACCCAGATTATTCGTACATGTATAGTAAAAATGTTTGAAATCCCCTGGCTGCCCTTCAGGCAGTTTAAGTACAACACTCAGAATTTAAAATTCCGTTTTTATCGGATTTATTTTCTCCAATCCACGCAGACTAAATTAAACCATTTCGGAGTTGCCTCAAGCCTCTGTTTCAAAGCGAGGCCAAGTGCAAAGCTAATGATATGAAAATGATTATTTATTCACATGCAAATGAAACTCATTCACTAGAAAGGTTTTGCACTTTGCACAGTTTTGAAATTGAGAGTTTTTTAGGAACTCTGAAAAACTACCATAAATGATCCAATAGATGCCTAGAATGTTTATTTGATTTGAGGAGCAGCGAGAAGACAAATATCAATAAATGTTTCTTACTTTTCTTCCTTGCTAGCTTGACTGTAGTATGCTCTGGATCGGATAGCAGAGTAAAATCCAAATGACTCGTGAAGATAGTTTGCTTCACTCGTTCTTAGGCTGGAATGGTCGTTAAGAGATTTCACATCGATTAACATGGCTTTTCATGAGGTTTAATAATTAATACTAACTTTGCTGGTGTATTGTATGTGATGGTCACTACTAGGTAAGGCTTAAGCATGATTAAGGAAGGTACGGTAAAAAGAACAACAAAAACATGCAACTTGTTTTGCAACATTGCTGATAATAAACTTGAACAACCGCTGCGAGAATCAAGATCAGAGTCAAAGAGCCCTTACAGAGGTTTAATACAGAAGCAGCAAGATTCAAAGTGCAAGATAATGCAAGATGCAAAAAAAGATGTCCTTACTAGTAATGATAGTAAAGCTGTCCAATTTTAGATGCAATTTCTCCAATTTGCCATCTTTTTAGGTTATATTTGGCATCCAGAATTGATCTAAAATCGCAATACAATAAAATAAGTTTCTTGACATAATCCCAAGTCGGACTTTCAAAGTTAATTTACAAACAGTTACAAAAGGCAAAAAACCTAGTTGCGATATACTGTAAAACTACTGGAAAATAGCTAAGATGAAAATCAGGATTTCTTTCATGGACTCTCATCCAAAATAACTGAGGGGTGTGTGGAAGCTAAGTGTCAAAGTCTCCCTTTTGACAAACCTGTCCTTCCTATCAAGGACTCTGATTTTTTCTTTGTCCTGTGCTCGTGACATGTTGATCACATCATCTCTCATTTCTTCAGCGACCTTAAAATTTACTATCATTCTTTATTTATCACACACAACGATTTCGACATTGCTGATCCTAGCAGTACACTGGATGCACATCATACGTATACATGCATGAACCTTGTATATGGCCCAGCTTGCCACCAATCCTTCGTGGCTCAGTGGAGAGAACATCTGACCCGTGTACAGGATTAAGGTCATAGGTTCAATTCCTGTCGGGGACTCTGATGTTTTCTTTGTCCCATGCTCCCGACATGTTGATCACATCATTTCTCATTTCTTCAGCGAGCTTAAAATTTAATTACCATCATTCTTTATTTATCAAATCAAAAGTAATTATGAGGGAGAATATGGAAGTTTGTGAAAGAACAATTGGGGCTTTGCACTTAGGCACCCCTTCATTTAACACTTGCACCCTAAAATATGGTAGCCAAAGTTAAAATTCAACACTTTCAAATTTCGTGTTGTGAAATGAGAAAAAACATAATATGGTACCAATAATCCATGTGAAAGTGCTACCAAAGATGTTTCATTTGAATGGTCACACCATGGCATTTCATTCATAGACTCAATATCTACAAGTCCTCCCTTCAGATTAAAGACTCTAACATCTCTAGGAGCAAATGGGCTGACTAGGGTAAAAGGGCTTAAGATAAAACTTGTGATTCATGTGTTGAGTTGAACATAGCTATGGTTTTATAAGGAAAGAATCCCAAATTACTGAACTTGCATTATCCATGGTGTCCAACATCTTAGTTTTGTGCATGAACTAAGATTTCTTTGTTGCCCCAAGTGTGAAAGCAAGCTGCCTGGGGCTAATAGGCGCTTTATGCTAGCACCCAGTTCTACCTTACCCCACATTGTTTTCTTAATTTTATACTTACTTTTTATAAGTTCAAAAAATTGAAAACAATATCTCACACAAATAATATTATTACCTGTGCTTCTGCTGAAACTTCCATAACTGGTTAGCAAAAAAAAACATATAAAAGTCAAATTTCAAGTGCTAATAAAAGAACTAAAAAGGTCATATGACTTTACAATTTAACTGCTATTCAGAATAATCCAAACTTACTCTAGTGTAAACATCAAATGTTTTTCCAAAGTGGGTCTGCCAATGCTTGTTTCCAAACTGTGGTAAGTCTCTGGCAGAGCATAAATTGGGGAAACAAAGACGAAAAAGAGAAATTTAATAACATCATAAAATTAGATGACAATGAAACTTTCATTTCAAATTATACTGGTAAATAAGACAGGATATCTGAAGTCTATAATAAGGAGTATATCAGTTGAGAAGATTCACTTATACATTGGTTTCTACATGAACTCCAAACTCAATTTTCCTACTTCCTATATGCATTTAAAAAATGAAGTCTGACACTGTACTATATTAGTATAAGGCAGAGGCATTGCTTTTCCAGTACCCAGGTAAATTCTGACAGGTGACGTGACCTTGAAACAACGTCATAAAACAGGTACAATGGTGACAAACAGCACATTGAAAGACACTGACGAAGTAAAATATTAAAAGGCACATTGCTTCCTCCTGAATAACTGAAACAATGGATTTTCACATTCAGATCCCCATTCCCCCCTCTATCACCACGAAAAGGACCTCAAGATACAGTGTTCGACAAATGCGGACTGCAGACTTGCAAGTAAACAAGGGAAACAGTGCTGTCAAATGCTCTCAAAACTATGACAAAACAGACTCAGCACTGAGGTTTGGGATAGTTATGATTTTTGTAAGATGTTTATCCACAGGTCTTCAGGCGATTGGAAATATTGGATGTAAAATTTTGGGAGGTAAACAAGGTACATTATGGTCTGTGGGAAAATGGCGAATGAGCTTTTAAGCTGAACTTACTGACTCTGATCTATCTCTTCAGGCTCAGTATTTCTGTCCTGTATGGGTTTCATATAACATGAGTAAATATAGAGAACATACAGGACAAAGTTTAGGTCTGGACATATGCTAGAAAATGGAAATAAAAATCTATGAAAACCACGTGGTGAGTTGTTGTTGTCCTGGTAAGTTTCATTGATTTTTATTTCCATAATATTTTCTAGAAAATTTCCACACCTTAACTTTGCGCCATATGTTCTCTATATTATTTTACTCATGTTATATGAAACCCCGGCGTACATGACACAAAAAGTGAGCCTGGGTTGCCTGTGGTTTATCTGCATCTGCAAGTCTATAGTCTGCATTTGTTTGCATTTGAAGGAGCGATGCATGTGCGGAAAAGCCCAGCAGGACACATTTTATCTTATGCCTTCAGTGCTTTTTTTTTCTACTGAAGAAAAGATCATTTCATGCAAATCCTCGTTGTATAATAAAACGTGGTTACGTCGGGGCGGGGGGAGGGCAAAGAAGATCATTATGGCCAAAAATTGGCGTATCTTCACTTATAACGTCTTGTCACCTAATTTGAAAAGACGAAAAAAAAGTAAAGGGGCACTAAGGATACAAACACCTCTGTTACACACGACACAAACAGTAACTCTTTGCTGAGCCCATCCCACACTAGAATAACAACACACCCTCAACTCTGCATACTCAGAAATGTTTCAACTTCACGTGAAAACAGGTATAACAAAAAGCCAACAATAAGAGTCACACCTTAGCGAGTTAAAAAGCTGTCGTGATTTCTCTTGTAACTGGCAAAACTCCACGACGATCTTTCTTTCTTCAGTTTTGGAATGCGTTGTATCGTTATTTACATCTTCCGCCATTTTGTTTGACAGGAGACTGCTGTCTGCAGTTTCTTTGGAAACGCTGGCTCGCGTTCAGTCCCAATCTTTTTGTTCATTCGTTTATGTTTTTTTCTTTTTCTTTCTTCATTCTTTCAACCCCCCCCCCGCCCCTTCCCACCCCCAAATTTTCTATCAAAAAGGAGGGAAAAGAAGAAGAAGAAAAAAGACAAACAAACAAACCACAAAATTACCACTAGACTTTTTTCCGCTTTTCATTTTCCATCATTCCTTCTGTTTTCCATAAGTTTCCTCAAATCGCCAGGTTACCCAGTAATAATATTTTTTGCGGTCATGTACATTTTTCGTGATCGTCAAGAGGAAAATCTAAGTCGAACTCGTGACAAAATAACTTCAGTGATTTTACATACGAAATCTCCGTTTCAAGATGAACTTATAGATGATTTCTGAGGTTTAAAATGGAGAGAAGTGTTACTTTCGAGCTTGGGTTTTTCGCTGGTAGTCCATCGAAGCCGTCGACTCAATTGAACAAACCGAGGATGCGACATATTTCAGACCGCCACCCAAAACAACTTCTGGACACTTTAGATGCTTTGCGACGATGTCAGGAGCTGTGCGATGTAGTCATAAAGGCGGGTAGTAAGACTTTGTTCGCTCACAGAGTTATTTTGGCAGCATGTAGCCCGTATTTTCGCGCCATGTTTACCGGCGAGATGACGGAAAGTCGGCAAATGGAAATCACAATTCAGGATGTCGATGAATCCGCTATGGAATTGCTAGTTGACTTTGCCTACACGTCTTCGATAACTGTAGAAGAGAGCAATGTCCAGTCACTTCTCCCGGCCGCTTGCTTGCTTCAAATCGCAGAAATTCAAGAAATATGTTGCGAGTTTCTAAAACGCCAGCTTGACCCCTCGAACTGCCTTGGTATCAGAGCTTTCGCCGACACTCATGCTTGCCGAGATCTCTTACGAGTCGCTGATATTTTCACTCAGCACAACTTTCAAGAAGTTATGGAAAGCGAAGAATTCCTTCTTTTGCCTGTTACTCAGCTACTCGATATTCTGTCGAACGACGAGCTTAACATTCGTTCTGAAGAACAGGTTTTTACAGCGGTCATGAACTGGGTGAAATATAGCATTTCCGAAAGGCGATGCCATCTTTCACAAATACTCCAACACGTTCGGTTACCTCTGTTACCACCCAAGTTCTTAGTGGGAGTAGTTGGAACAGATCCCTTGGTAAAAAGTGATGAATCTTGCCGGGACTTGGTAGATGAGGCAAAGAACTATTTGTTACTACCTGAACAAAGGTTACTTATGCAAGGTCCTCGTACACGACAGCGTAAGCCTACTAAATGCACAGAAGTGTTGTTCGCGGTAGGGGGTTGGTGTAGTGGAGATGCCATCAGTAGTGTAGAACGCTATGAGCCTCAGACAAATGATTGGAAAATGGTGGCCACCATGAGTAAGAGACGCTGTGGTGTAGGTGTAGCGGTTTTGGACAATTTATTGTATGCTGTAGGTGGCCACGATGGTAGCAGTTATCTTAACAGTGTTGAAAGGTATGACCCCAAGACTAATCAGTGGAGCAGTGATGTGGCACCTACTTGCACGTGTCGAACAAGTGTTGGTGTTGCGGTGCTAGATGGGTAAGTTTAAGATAATTTATTGACTTTAACTGCTTTGAAGTCAAACCATTACAGTGTGACAACTTCACCTAAGGACTTTTAGCCAATCAGAAACCACTCCTTTAACAAAGAAATGGGCATGTGGACCTCATCGGAAACTGTCCTGTTTTTCGATTAGCTAGTTTCGCTCCTACATTTTTTGCCATTTAGAATGGCTTACTTCTAGCGAGAGCCAATCAGGGGCCAAAGAATCTTGTTTTCATTTTTCTCGTGATCAAATTTAAATTTTTACCTGTTAACTTGCTTTGCCTTCTTGGAAGTGAAAATCAAAATCATGTCTGTACAGCTGAGAATAAATCTGCTTGGTGGTCTTTACAATAATGCTAGAAACTTGCTATTCTTTGCTGCAAAAGGGTCCTAGAGCTCAATAACATTGGCAATCTCAATGTGCGATCCCTCAAGAACTTGGAACCAGAGGATAGTTTAAAGAAATACAAAATGGTAATGAAATGTCACACAACACGGCACTGAGCATGCTTTCCCATCCTGCGATTGGGATGGGAAAATATTAATATATTTCTCCTCAGATGCAAGAAAAGAAAAGCTTTTTCACAGCGAGCGAGAAGTTTAGGATTAACTTTCTTTGAATTACCTGATAGGTTTATATGGCTTGAATTCCCTTTTGGCCGAAGAGGGAAATTGGGATTACTCCGTGTCTTCTTGCGTGATAAAAACAGTGCCCAGCACTAGGCCAGTCGTTGATTTTTTTCTTGTTGACCACAAGTGTTTCTGTTAAAGAAAGACTTATCCTTCCTTTTTTTCACAAATGAATATTCTGGACCCAGGGAATAATAAGAGAATACAATTAAGCGGTAAAGAAAAACGCGCAATATTTTTCCCCCATAGATACAGGGCACTTTTATACCCCTTACCAAGCAAGTATTCCAGCCCTTCAATATATATAAAGCACCTTGTATATTTTAGAAAAAGCAGCCACAGAAGAAAAATGGGTAAGTGCATACATACGACGCACCATTCTAAATGACAAAAACATTTAGGATTGAAACTAACCAATCGAAAAATAGGACAGCTCCCGATGAGATCAGCACACCCAATTCTTTGTTAAAGGAGCAGTTTCTGATTAGCTGAAAGTTCTTAGGCGGCCCCTGTTGAAGTCGTCACATTGTAATACTAACACTAAGGGGGGCATGTTAAGTGTGTTCAATTTTGAGAAAATTTAAGGGCTTTCCCCAAGGACAAAGAAGTATTTGCGAGAGGCTGTTTACAAGGTTCTTAGAGAAAGTACATATGGAGTGGGTTGGTAGGCCTATACAATTTTTTCCTGATCATATATTGTTATCATGACTGTCACAGTATGTGTTAATTTCCTGTGCCATGTTTTGTCACATTGAGCCCATCTTTGCATTGTTTGCAAGATAATATGGTTTTGGTTTATTGATGAAACACAAGCAGAAGTGGTTGCTAAAACTGTAAATGAGTAAAAGCTGTCAGCAAATTTTGTAGAAACACAATGTTGTTATCTGTTGATCAATATGTGTGCTTCTGATAATAATAATTATTTGACTCAAGAATTGTAATAAACTCAACATTACATTGGGTAGTTTTTCCTGTAACACCACTATTTTGTGTGCTTTGTCACTCCTAAGTGGAACACTAATAAAAGCAGGACTGTGACTGGACAGGTCACCATACCATGAACTTGGTATGCATGGTTTCAAAGCAGAAATCTGATCGGATAAATGTTGGGAAAGGAAAGGCTTGCATTAACTGAAGTTTGCAAAATAATTTTTCTGCTTTTACAATATGTGCTTGACAATGTTCTTCTAATATGTGTCGATAGTGTGGTTGTGCACAATTGGCATCAGATAGCATGCAATTGCACAATTCCAGGAAAATCGCTCAATTCGTAAAAAAAATGTCCAATTTGAGTGAACTAAGTCAATTTTAACTTTTATTAAATATTTTCCCAAGCTTATCACTATTTCAGGGTGATTTATACAATTAAAAATAGCCTGGAATAATTTATTGTGGTACCATTTTAATTACTTCAAAGACATGCATTGTCATCTGTAGTACAAACTGTCATTTAATGATCTTTTTTCTTTAAATTGTTCTTTTTATATTTTTTTTGCTTCAATTTATAAGAGGACAAAACAAAATTCATGTGCTTTTTTTTTTCTTAAATACCCATGGTACAAGATTAATGTAGATGTTCTGTTGTTCTTTTAAACTCAGATTGTCTGTAAACAAAATTTAAGTGATATTCGTCCACTGAATCCTGGTAAAACAAGGTTGTATTAGCCCTGAAAAAAATCACATGATTCACATTATTAACTGGATATAGTCCAGACCTTTCATATCACTTAATCTGCCCTGTAAATGCTGCATGATTTTCTTTTTTATTTCACCCTGTCAAAAGGCCTGTGGATGCACTAGTATCTTCTTTTGCTCTCTTTCTGATCAACCAAGGAAATTCTTTCAGGTACATGTATGCTGTTGGTGGGCAAGATGGTGTTTCTTGCCTTTACATTGTTGAAAAGTATGACCCTCAAGAAAACAGATGGTATAGAGTAGCCTCCATGAGTTCCCGAAGATTGGGTGTGGGCGTGGCTGTTCTTGATGGCTACCTCTATGCTATTGGAGGTTCAGACGGTACCTCACCCTTGAACACAGTAGAAAAGTATGATCCTAAAACCAATCGCTGGAGTCCTGTTGCTCCCATGGGAACAAGGAGGAAACATCTTGGAGCTGCCTTGTTTCAGGATAAACTTTATGTTGGTGTGTATAATTTACTGTGTTTGTTAATGTGTAGAAGTTTTTGCTTGTAATGTTGACAAAAGCATGAATACATCTGTACATCTTCTTGACTAGTCCCTGTTCAGCAGTAATTTAAGCACCTGTCATTTTGAAAAAAATACAAAGCATTTTGAATTTTCGAATTTTCACAGCGCGTGACACCACGGTGGTAGCGGAACATTTCAAGCAATAAAAAAAGTGTTTATGTTCATGTTAATTAGCTCATAAGCAAAAAGAAAACATTTTTATTGCAGAAGTGAAATCCAGATGTTTTTGTTTATTTCTGGTCACCATATTTAGTGTCCCATGCTGGTACACAAGCATGGCATCTCAATCCAAAGCTCTAAAAAATTGTGTGATACTTTTTGGTAAATAACTAAAAAACTGTGCACAGCACAGAGCTGAGACTTGGATATGTTGCATATTTATGAGTCTTGCATATCATTTCATTTTCTTTGAATGGTTTCGAGTTTATTTTTTCAATGCATGACCATGAAAGCACGCTATAGCCATGCTGTTTCATTCAACATGATATGTTTACTCTTGTTTTAAGTTGGAGGGCGCGATGATGCAACAGAACTCAGCAGCG